CTGATCGTTTTTGTTTTTTTTTACATTTAAAGGTCTACATATTCTATTGAGATAATGTTCCCCGTTATGTTCATCACCCCGAGCTAATGTGCATGTAATAAAAGTCCTGAAAATATACGCAGAGAGAGAAAGCTGGCACCGAGCCTGTGGGGCCTCTCGGGGATCCAGCCTCGTCGATATTCCAGCATGTATATAAAAATAAACCAAACTCTAATGTAAGGATTAGCTGCTGAGCTTCAAAGTTCAAACTAGTCGCACTGTTTCCAGAGTGACCTCTCAGCATCACGAGGACCGCCGTCATTAATGAATCAAACTGATAATCATAAATCGATACGTGCAGAGAGCAGAGTGAAGGAGCTTCTCACCATGTCTCCCATGTGGTTCATGCTCAGATCGTAGGTGTGAAGCCCCATCGAAGCCTCCAGGTTGTGCATGGAAATGAGCATCAGGTTCTTCTCCCACAATTCCCGGCGGCGTACGTCTTCCACCTCAACACAAACACATGGAGGAACAGTGCACGAGGTCAAACTCTGTATAAGTTCATGATTAATTGCATGTATGGATTTTCTGGCTTTAAGATAAAGAAAGAAAACTTTTTTTTTTTTTTTTTTTTACATGCACACTTTCTCACTCACCTCATCTCGGTACATTTTCTCGTTCGTCTTCTTCCACAGATCCCAGTGGACGTCCAGCCTGCTGTCAAACATGGCCGCCGCCCCGACACAAAGAGAGACGAGCAGCAGGCTCCCCAACATCAGGCCTGTAGACACACACACACACACACACACACACACACACACACACACACACACACACACACACACACACACACACACACACACACACACACACACACACACACACACACACACATGAGAACTCAGGATGTCTCTCTGCTATACGCAAAGAAAAACAACCCGCCTGATGGAGATCAGGCGTCGAGTCACAAACATGTTTTTTTAAAACCACAGAGTCGACCGCTCACACATTGCAGGTTTAGAGATGACTACATGTTTTCACACCTCAGACACCAAAAGATAAAATGAAGAAAAATAATCTAATGGAGTTACTAATCAAACTTTTGGTCAGTCATTTAAGAGCTCAGCTAAGCCACATTTTTGACTTGTCTCCAAATGTGTCTTGAGGCCCGTTGTAGTCGTCAGTATTTTAACCTCGGCCTGAAGTCCCGTCCCTGAAAGATTACACAAATCAGGCCACTGACATGTGGAGAAGCAAATTTACTGCACTAAGCCATCAGTCCAGTAGGCGACGGTAAGAAGAAGACGAAGGCCATACAACAAAGATGATGCCATATAAAGACGACGGTTAGAAATCAGAGTTAGCCTGTTGTTACATGTGGTCCTGTTCTCTCTCTCTGTTTCCCCTCACTCCCTCTACCTGCTGCACACCTGAGTGCAATCTGTGCTCAGGAAGGAGGAGGAGGAGACGGAGGATGAAGAGCAGGAGGAGGAGGAAGAGTAGGAAGAGGAGACGGAGGATGAGGAGGAGGAGGAGGAGAGAGGAGGAGATGGACGAGGAGGGAGAGGATGAGGAGGAGGATGAGGGAGAGGAGGAGGAGATGGAGGAGGAGGAAGAGGAGGAGATGGAGGAAGAGGAGAGACTCTGGGCGGTGAGGAGCTTTGCGTCCCCTTTTCACCTTGTTATCTTTCTCCCTTAATGCAGTTTTTTTTTCTTCCCCCGGCCCGCGCAAAGTCGACAAAAGTAAAAGACACGAGTATCTCCCCGTGTTTCAAAATCAAACCAGAATAAAACGGGTTTAAACTCAACAGTCTGCGAATGTTTGCTTCTTTCTTGAGAGCTTGTGTTGGGAGTGTCAGGTACCGGTGTCTCGTTAAATCAGACAAACATAAAATGAAGCATCTCGGCAAAACACACAGTAAGAGCAGGAAGCGGTTTCCACATGTTGGCTTCAGTTACATGTTGCGCCAAACATCCGCCCGTCTGTAAGGTCAGACGACGTCTGTGACAACACATCGACACAGAGGCACGGATGAACTTCAGTTTTAACACCTGCAAAGTTCAACGATTGTGCGAGCAGGGGGGAAGCACGATTCATCGATGTCTCCTCAGATTTCCAGCGTCAGTTGTTTGTGTAGTTTCTCATCGATCAGGAAGCTTTGACATGAAATCAGCTGCTCAGAATTGTGACGTTAACATCTGAAACTTAACGTCACAGCAACATGGCGGCTGTGAGCAGAGACGCTGCTTGTCAACAGGTAAGGCAGGCAGCTGGCCAGTAAGGGGCCCTTGAGGCTGACAAACTTTAAAGGTCACACATCCTCCTCCTCTTCAACAATTCTAAATAAGTCTCAGAACTCCTCAAAACATGTTTGTGAAGTTTCTTGTTCTAAATCCACTCTGATCCTGTATTTGATCATGCCTATAAACCCCTCTATTTCAGCCCTGCTCAGAACAGGTTGTTTCTGTACCTTTAAATATGCAAATGAGCTGTGTCTGACCACGCCCCCTCTCTGGAAGGGCTTTCTCGCGCCATGTCCTATTGTTTACGGTGAGAAGGCAGACTCAAAGGGCAGAACAAACACCTAGCTGTGGCAGTGTCACCCACCTGGGGGAGGGGTTACTGCCCTTTGTGATGTCATGAAGGGAAAATCTCCAAACGGCCTGTTTGAGCACACATTTTCTAAAAAATGGAGCAGGCAAAAAATGGCGAGGATGGACTTTTCTCATCATTGGGGGGTTTGTAGACAGACTAGAGACACATGTTAGAGTTAGAGGAACATAGTGAAGTGGATTTTATAAATTATATGTGACCCTTTAAACCATATTTTAATCAACGTGCCAATTTTGCACATATCTGACAGCTCTCACTCTCATTGCCGTGTTTAGAATCTCATGCATTATTCCTGAGGAAACCACTCGTGGAAAATAAAGAGGAATGATCTGTCTGGGAGTGAAAAAACAACACAATGGTGGTTGGAGGGGCCCAGAATACATTCTTGCCTCGGGCCCCGTCGGACTCTAGAATCTCCACTGCCTGTTGGAATATGGTCGACAGTGTATTTAAGGACAGAAATCTGATTTACTGTTGTATCTTCTGAATGTTTATTTTTCAGGAGTTGTAATGAACAGCTCTGTGAAAAGCTTTAGTAGATATTCCTCTTGACGTCAGAGTTATTCTTTGATCCATCAGCACACTTCTTTCCCTCACTCGGAGAACGTTTTGTTCCAGCAGGAGAGAAATGTTTTGCCGTGTCCTCGGATCACAAAGACTTAAACCCCAAGCTGCACAGCTTCATCACCTCATGTTATCATATTCATCTCAGACGTATTTAGAAAGCTTTCACTGCCAGCGCTTTTCATTTTCCCGGCCCTCGTGATTCTGCCGCTGCATGTTTGGGAACCTGTAAGACGCTGGATGAAGTCCCTGATCTTTTCATTCTCCTGTGTGAGCATGTTTTTACCCCCGTCAATATTTAGATGATTCATCGAGTATCATATTATCTGCACAAACGTCCGATTATCAAGTTATTCTGAAGAAGCTGCAACGGAAGAACAAAAAGTAAACGCAAAGTGTGTGTGTTTAAGATCAGCATGGATGGTCAGCAGCGGTTGAGCATCACTTCCTCAAATATCAAAACTTGTGAACTGTAAATAAATCAACCTTCAACCCCCCTGTGAAGCTGCTGTCACAAAACCTGAAGTGAAACTCATGAACCAGCAAGAAATGCAGCTGAACGCGTCCTCATCCTCAGTTATGGTGTAATCAGGTGATTTTTGTTTCAGCGGAGAGAACGAGCTCGCTGCCAGAAAACACAAGAGGATCAGCATTTAATAACAGGAAGTTTAAGGAGTGACTAATAATCAAACATCAGGTGAGGGAGCTCTCAGGAAAAAAACAGAGATCAGAGTGCTGATCTGCCTGTTTCACATGATTCACTGGAGGAATATTATTAACAATCAGAGAGCTTTACAAATACACCAAGACTCGAGTTATCAGAGGAGTCTCTCTGACAAAAGGGGACAGAGACTGGAAGTGATTTAAGGACACTAGGGTCACAAATCTGTCTAATCTAAAGTTGTGAAAATGTTACCTTAGTTTTACAATACTTTCTCTGGGTTTTTATTAGGCCCCGACCAATATGAGATTTTTAGGGGGTGATACTGATGTCGATGTCCGGAGCTGAGGCAGGTTTTAAACCTCCTGACAAACTGTTACACCGCGCCCGCCTGTCAATCATATCAGATCAGCTACACGCCTTATTGTGAATAACTCTTATCCTTCATCAAATCAAAACTGATGAGTCATCAAAACATTCACCCCCGTACAGTGTGTGTCTTTAGAGACATGAGCTAATCAGACCTGTTTGTTTTTTGAACCAGGCTGTAAACATGTTCATCTCTGCTGTAAAAACAGGCTTTTTAGAACAGGTGTGTATGTGACTTCCTGTGCTTCTGCAGCCAGCCTCTAGTGGACACTGGAGGAACTACAGGATTTTACACTTCAGCATCGGTTTCATTTTTCCACCTCTGAGGTTGCTGCTTGTAGGAGATTTGAGGTAACGTCATGGGTGGAGTCTTTCTTTGTGTCGGGCATTGAGACCCAAAAAAAAAAAATCAGCGTCACCTCTCAGCAAACAGTTAACACAAAGATTTGCAAAACATCCTCTCCAATAATTCTATTTATGTTTCATGTTTTACAGAAGTTTAATCCACTGCCAAGCCATGCTGGAGAGTTTAATTTTTTTTAAACTATAACTGATATCATGTCTTCTCTGTTTGCAAAATCTGTTGCAGCATATTTCAGGTATCAGAATCTTCACCGGGAGGGAAAAGTAATTTGGGCAGATATTGTGCAATATCTGTCGTGTTTAGCATTGGTGTGAGACTTTCTGTTTACATGTTTCTCTTTTGTTTTTTTCATCGACTGATTCCAGTGGAAGCAGCTGAAAGTTTGGCAGCACTTTGAGTCCAAGACAAATTCCCCCACGGGGACAATAAAGTGTGATCATATCGTATAGCAACATCTCTGACTCTTTAAAAGAGTCTTACACTTTGACACTCAGTCAAAGAGCAGAAGCATGGGTGTTGAAAAATGTTCATAACAAGAATGCGTCCCTCTGTTTTCTTCAGGGTGGGGATCAAATAGAAGCTGTTGAAGAGGTCAGAGGCACTCGGAGGGGTTTATGCATAAAAAGCCTTGAACTCATCAGGGCTTCAGATTCATAAAACACAGCAACAGGTTTCAGACATACTGGCCCTGATGCATTAAAGGCTTTTCATACAAACCCCTCTGAGTGTATCAGACCCCTTCAAGAGTCTTTTTTTGTAGACTTTTCAGGTCGCCTGGATGAGACCTTCTATCAAAGTTACACTGAACTTTATGCAAAGAAAACCAACTTTATGCTGCTAGTTTTGCTAAATTAAGGTTAAGTAACTGTATCTGTACCTGTAGGTAGAGAGTCAGCTTCATTTTACAGGACAGGACAAAAACATGATGAAGTAATGAGAGGCTCAATACTCCAGAGATAACCCGACAGTAAGATCAAATATCCCAGCGGTAAGAATAAGACAAATACAAATAAGAATATAGCACCAATCAAGTCAAACATGGAGAGTAGAAATCTTTACACACATTTCAGAATAAACTCTGAAGAGCAGGAAACACACGGCATGTTTTCAGAAGGTTTGTGTTGCATTAAATTACAGATTATCCAGAAGAAAAAAACACCCAGAAGAAGACGTGATTACGTCAAAACAACTCTCATATTTAACTTTCACCTGTAGCCAGGTACAGATCAGACTCTACCGAAAACCGAAAGTAAAAGAATAAACATCTTAAATCGGTTTTATTTTCGGATTATTCTGATATGAGAGCCCTGTCATGGATATAAACCTCGACAGGTTTTGATAAAAAGTGACAATCAGAGGGTGGAAAGAGTCAAACTTACCTTGATCAATCGGTCTCATGGTGCGTCTGTGTTGATCCCAATCTGCCTCTGTGTGAGAGACAGTGTGTGTGAGAGACAGTGTGTGTGTGTGTGTGTGTCTGTGTGTGTCAGTGTGTGTGTGTGTGTGTGTGTTCCTAATCGAAACTTATGAGGTAAATGTCACATGGTCCGTGTGCATCACTTCTTCTTCCTCTTCAGAAACAGAGAGCTGCCCTCCGCTCGTCATTTCGGTAAACACCTTAACAAACTTTCTGCAGTGGACAAAAAAGAGGAAACGGAGCGTTTGCGGAAATAAGTGAGAAAAAGTGATTTTATCGGCTTTAAACCTCAAAGAAACATCTAAACTTTATAAAATGAGTCAGATTCAACCCTCAGAAAAACACAGCAGAGGTAGTTAATCTGATTTATTGTCCTAAAGCATTAAAATAATAACTTATTCACTTCCTTCTAAACGTCTAAAACCGGCCCTCTAGCAGCCCCTAGAGGCTGAAGTGTAAATTACAAGACATAATGCAAAAATGTGACCAAACCTACAGTCTATGGACCAAACCTGTGGTTGTAAAAAATGCTCCGCCATCACTGAATTCAAATGTCTGATCTTTTTTTTAATGTACGGAGGCCTGAATTTGCCAAAAACAAATACATAAAAAAGGTTTTAAATATGTAAAGATTAAAAAAAATGTCTTAAAATGATAAAAAAATAGACTCAAATCTGAAACAGGGTTAAATCTCTGTTTTAATTTGTTTTGTTTTTTTCTTTTTCTGACTTTTTATCTTAACAGAGGATAGAGCCAGAGAGAGAGAGAGAGAGAGAGAGAAGAAAGGAGCCAAATGTCGGATCCGCTATAGGCTCCCCCAACCTTCAGCGAGGTGTTCGGTTACTACTACCACCCGATGTCCCAGACGGCCAGCCTCCACCATCAGACTGTGTCTTCCCCACAACCACCGCTCCGACCTCCACCACGTGAAGAACACAAAGGAGAAATCCTTCCTGCATAAAACGCCTAAAGAAAACATCTGCTATGAATTAGCGCTGTACAAATAATTATTGATTGATTGATACTTTTTAAACTCGCCGTCACTCGCTCTGCTGATGTATGCAGCTCCTCCAGGTTGTCAGCGTGAAGCAGAAAACTTAAAAACACTGACACAAGAGTCATTGAACTTTCCATAACGGTGTGTGTCTGATTCAAACTGACACAAGAATCTAATCTGCTTTGGACTGAATCCACCTGAGTGACCTTTGACCTTTTATCAGGAGGTTCAATATGCCATTAAAAGTGTATCAAGGGGCGTGACTTCATCAGGACATCAGGACATCAGGATGTGTATATTGGCGAGGAAACAACGTAACAGATGTTTATAATGTCGGCTAAATGTTGCAGCAACAGAGCGACAGCATCAGACATCCTGTGTGTAATGTTGGAAATTCATCCTGAGGGGGAAAAAATGGAAATCCTTCAGTTAAGAGAGTTAATATGTTGAATAAATTCTGTTGTTAAGCTTCTCGTTGGTCTTTAAGATTTCAGATGTTGAAGCGAGATGTTTCATTTGATCGTGGTTCTAAGTAAAGGTCAGGGAGGTCGCTTACACATGTCTCCGTTTGTCTCTGTAGTCCAGTCAGAAGCTACACGGGGAGACCTGGATCTGGACCAGAGTCGGGGTCAAGAGGTACGTACTGGAGGAAAGGTCAAAAGGTCATCACCCTGCATGGCAGCCGAACAGATATGAAATGCTAAGTCTTCTTTGATTTCTCTCTTTCATTGGACTGCATTCATTGACATACAAACCGGTGAAAACAACATTTCTATGTTTTTTTGACTGATTTCTCATCGAGCTGATGGAGCTACAAAGACAAACTGTACAGAACATAATTATGAATAAACATCAGCGGTAAAGGTCTGTAATCCATTTGTTTTAGATTGTACTAGTTAAAAATATAAAGGAAACCTGCTTGAGGCATTATTTGATCATGCCTATAAACCCCTCTATTTCAGCCCTGCTCAGAACAGGCTGTTTCTGTGTCTGTACCTTTAAATATGTAAATGAGCTGTGTCTGACCACGCCCCCTCTCTGGAAGGGCTTGGGTGTCTCTGTGCTTTCTCGCTCCATGTCCTATTGTTTACGGTGAGAAGGCAGACTCAGAGGGCAGAACAAACACCTAGCTGTGGGAGTGTCACCCACCTGGGGGAGGGGTATCTGCCCTTTGTGATGTTATGAAGGGAAACTCTCCAAACGGCCTGTTTGAGCACACATTTTTTGAAAAGTGGAGCAGGCAAAAGACGGAGAGGATGGACTTTTCTCATCATTGGGGGCTTTGTAGACAGACTAAGGACACATATTAGAGTTAGAGAAACATGGTGAAGTGTGTTTTGGATAACCTTTAATGTTGACAAGCTTTTGTTTGTTGGCTGAGCGAGTGAAGAGGTTGTCATTATCCGTTTATCAGAGCGACCTCTGTGTCTTTGAAAAATCTCAGCAGCTAATCTCTTCCTGTTTCTCTGGATATGTGTGGGGAAAAAAAAGCCCAATCGATGCATTCAAGTTCAAAATGAAACCTTTATTCAACTTCATAGAAAACATCAGTTTAGAGTCTTTGATCAACAGAAAAGTGCTTCACAGAACAACAAAAACAACAAAATGCGTAGCGACGGAGAGAAACACTTTAAAGAGACTCTGCGTTGACTTGAAGGAGGAGCTTCATCGTCCAGCAATGTGTCCTATCACTGACTCTAAACTCTGTTAGGCTTTACACAAACTGTGAGTCAAACAATAAGAAGGGAACTGTCACAGATTACAGGTGAAATAGATTTTGATTTGAGGATTAAACTTGGCACTTTTGGCTCTAAAGCAATCATTTCCTTGGGGGTTAAAAACAGAGAACTGGAGGTATTTCATCCGACAAAGAGCCGACAGACATGAAGCTGGTTTGGAGATGAAACTGAAAAGATGAAGTTCAAACCGCTCCAGAGAACCAAACCTCCTTCATGTTTGAACTTTGCATTTTTAGGGCGTTTAAAACCCAAAACTCTGCAACATTTGGCCCTTTCAGTTTGAATTATTTGTGTTGTATCGGTCGAGTCCATGTAAACAAACTTTAAATCATCCGTTGTGTTTCGTAGTGGTTGCTGATGTATGGAATGAACTTTTCCCGCAGTAGTCCTCGTTCTCCCTCGTCTTCCTCTGAGGTCCTCGCTCGTCTCCCTCACATCACCGGGTAGCTCGCCAGGTTAGTGATGCCGCAGAGGTTTCCACGATTGCGTGCCATCAGGATGTATCCGCTCTTGCCCCATGTCTCGCCCCAGCTGTCAGGAGGAGACAAAAAAACAACACAAGGCGTCAGAGATTGAAAGACAAGAGAAGCATGAGCGTTGTTGTTGAGCATCGCCCGGAGTCAAACATCATCTCAGCTCGTCAGTTTGTCATCAAATCGACGCCAAGACAAACACAAAGCCGTGGTTTCATATTGCCGTCTGTCTGAGCCACCTGATGCCTTCAGACAGGTGAGGTGACCCACCTGTTCTTGACGATCCAGTACTTCTTCCCCTTGGGGGTCACTCCGAAGCCCACTGCCAGAACGGCGTGATTGATGTCGTCTTTGTTACAGTTGCGGTCGTAGTAAACACCTGAGCACACGACAGAGAGGAAGAGTGAGGAAGGTAGTTCAAGAAAACCAGAGAGATACTGCTACTACGATCTCTGAGGTCGTAACTTTTGAGGTTTGTGTCTTCAAATATTTGATTAAAATTTAAGATTTTTGAACGGCCTGTAATAAAATATGACACCATGCAAACAATTGAGTTTCAAAATCCAATCCAGGAGACATAAAGTGATGGATCCTTTGAATGTGGTTCCGCAGAGTTTAGTGGAATATTTAAAGGTCCAATCAGTGAGATGTGTAGTGAGTGAGATGATAAAGTGAGCTTACTATCTGATCAGACATTAAGGAAACATGCTCTGTTGAAGTGCTGGCTTCTCTGACAACAATGCAGCAGCCAGTATGTCCTCCTTCTAACTTTAGATTCTGGTCCTGAATGCTCTGGATTTGTTTGGACCAGAGAAGGTAGGCGGTTTTTTTAGGTACCCCCACATGGCCGTTTTGGACGCCCCTTGGTTTGCCAGATATGAGAGCAGTTATCAGGGGAGACAACTCTCTACAATGTTTTGAATTTAGACGGCAGTACCCATTTTAAACACTAGGTGTCAGAGTTACATACTGCTCCTTTAGGAGTCAGAGTCTCCCTGAACACACTCAGGGAGAGTAATAATACAATGAAACAATTAGCTGAGGCTATAAATGCTCACTGTGAGGTAACATGTCCTGTATCAAATAAAGATGAAATAAAAACATAAATAAAACACCTCCTGCTGGCTTCACAGTATCTACAGTGTAAAGATCATTCAGGGTCTGTAAGCAGTGTCTGACCTCTCTGGTAGAACTGGAAGCTGCTCAGTGTGGCGTCGATGCCCACGGACACGGGACCCACTTTAAACAGCGCCACAGCCAGCGCGTGCTCGTCGCCCTGCGGGACCTCCTTGTAGCCTTTGCACTGAGCCGCCATACCTGTGGAGTTGTAGCGGCACGGCTGGTCCTGCAGACAAAGACAAACAACGTGCACATGAACTTATCGGTTCTTCACCTCTAACGTGACCTCGGACTAAAACACACGACATGATGAAGGATTCAGAGCATTAACAACAACAACACAAGAAGGATATGTGGAGGAATCGAGAGCTGCACGCTGCAGAGGTCTTCTTTAGGTGATTTTAAAGGGTTCAAAAATGATCACCTGAAGAAGACCTCTGGCTGCGAATGTGATGGAACAAAAACAGTTTGTGGCGTTTGAGCAAGTCTGCAAAATGAAGACGTTTGACATCATGGCATCAGAAAAAGCGGCTTCATGTTCTCTTTGTTGCCTTAAAACAAATAACCTTTCGACAACCAACTGATGGGAAAATACTAATGTAGCTGTGACCCTGTTCCGTAATTTGAGTCATAAAATTCACATGACACGAGTGAATATCATTTCTGTTCTTCCCCGACATCCACACAATCATGACTCTGCATCCTTTTCTCATTAACAAGCAGCTCCACTTCCTGTATTCACAGATAACTAAAGAGGAACTTGACGTTTGCTTAGTAAGAAAACAGGAAAGTTTCTGTTCAGTTAAAAGGCCGGTGCTGTGATTCCTGCTGCCATCAGTTTTTCTGTGTTTGTTAAAATGTGATTATGTTGGACCTCCTGACGTGACGTCTCAGAGGGGAACAGCTGAGCGCTTTAGTTTCAGTCTGTGTGTGCACTTCTGTTTCTGGACGTTATCTCCTGATACCAGCTGATCCTGCATATTCTGACTGCTGTGACAAAATGTACAAAAATACAGTTTTAAAACAAACTAGGTCATCTAGATGTAACCCACAGATAACTTACTGACTCCATGGCCAGGGGTGTGTCCAGACTTTTTGGACCCAGGGGGGCCCGACTAATGTACTGACTTGTTTCAGGGGTGGCCTGAAGTTTGTGTGCACACACATGAATGAAGAGCATTTATAAACCCCTTCTGTCTGCACCAATCACATCGACTTTTAAGCATCACAAGATAACAGCGAGATAAACATCTTGTCGGCCCAAAGTCACAATTCAAAGTATTTTAAAATTGCAAACCAGCATCTGGACGCTGAGCTGCCTGTTGCAACACAGCCTGAATGGTGGATTTCAACACACATCCCACCTCTAGTAAAGCAAATAGCCAATCAGGGTTAAGGATTTTGGGGTGGCCAATAAGATGTAAAGGGGGGCCCCTCTGGACACGCCCCTGTCCATGGCACATTCAACGTCCAAGCATCACAGATACATCATGAATTGAAACAGGACGATAAAGAACAGTTTATAAAAACTGCTATCAAGATGTGAACACAAGAAACGGTAAATCTGAAGGTTAAATTTATGGGTTCGATTCCCTCTTACCTCTCCGATGTACGGGTAGACCACCTCAGAGTCGATGCCCCCGTTTTGCTGCACGTACTTGAAGGCGTTGGTCATGTATCCTCCTCCGCAGCCGTCGTTCTCGGTCACGCAGTCCACCAGGTTCTGAGGACTGAGGTCTACCAGCTGACCCGTAGTCTTGGCCAGCTGGCCCTCGAGGGCCCCGCAGGAGCTGAAGGCCCAGCAGGAGCCGCAGGAGCCCTGCAGAGACGAGATGAAGTGATACAGCGTTTACAATACAATACTTTATTGTCCGCCGTCAGGTACACATATATAAACACGTGAAACAGTCTGAAAGTAATCAAAGCAGCCAAAGCAACAGTCAGCGTGGGAACTTGTTAAGAGCTTCAATAGCCGAGGGGACAAAGCTCTTTTTAAAACCTGACAACTTCCAGGTCAGAGTCCTGGACCTCCTAGCTGACGGCAGCAAAGAGAGGACCAGATTGAGAGGGTGAGAGGGCGAGAGGGCGAGAGGACGAGAGGGCGAGAGGGCGAGCACTCTGTGTGTCCGGGCTTTGTAGTTGAGATGTGAGAGGTTTTGGGGGGGCAGGCCGAGGATTTTTGAAGCAATATTTGTGGAAAAAAAGGCGGAAAAATGAAGAAATAATGAACTGAAATGTTCTTTAGACTACAATAAGTCCTGAGATAGTGGATCCATTATTCTAATATTTTCTCCTGTCACAACATTCAAAGATCTCCTGGTTCCTCCTCCTCGTGGAGGATTCAGAGCTGGTCTTTGTCTAAAATGTCAGTAAACTTCACAAAGGGGGATTTGAATTGTTAAAACATCAAACCAGGCAATCTGAAGACGACACCTTCAGCTGCAGGAAACTGAGACAGAGACATTATGTAAATATATTTTTAGAATTAATTCATCCAGTAAATAATTCAGCAGATTTGATAACGAGACTGAAGGGAAATCAGACTAAATGAGACACTAAGAGCATAAAACAAATAAGTTTGTGTCTTCTACTATCTGTCCACTAGGGGGCAGACCTTGACAACTTTGGTTTGAAGACATTTCTGTTGGTTGGGTCTCTGTTTTGTAGTTTAGGTTGTGCAGGCTGGAAGAAGGACGAGTAGGGGGCGGAGGAGGCAGAGGGGAAGGAAGGGAGGAGGGGGAGATCCTCGTTTTTAAGCACGTTTCTGCTCGTGGAGCTTATTAGAAACATGCAGAGGCTTTTTAGGTCGGGTACAATCACTTCTATCTGAACCACTTCTCTTGCCCGCTTCCATCGCTGCAACACCTGTTGGTTTGACCTGATAACTGCTCTCATATCTGGCAAACCGAGGGGCGTCCAAAACGGCCGTGTGGGGGGGGGGGCCTTAAAACCGCCTACCTTCTCTGGTCTAAACAAATCCAGAGCATTCAGGACCAGAATCTAAAGTTAGAAGGAGGACATACTGGCTGCTGCATTGTTGTCAGAGAAGCCAGCACTTCAACATAGCATGTTTCCTTAATGTCTGATCAGATAGTAAGCTCACTTTATCATTTCACTGATTGACGTTTTCAGTGAATGAAAAACTAAATTTGCCTTAAAAACAAACCAAATCCTGAAAACAGCTTTGAGTGGGAATAAAAGGAGCTGCTGGGAGGAAGCAGAGAGCTGTTGGTATGCAGGGAGGGAAGTCACACTGCTGCATAATTCAACAGGAAGCTCAGCAGCAGCAGCAGCAGATCAATAAATCCTGTTTAAACCTGCAGGTGGATTTTCAGCCACCAGGGGGCGATAACAACCGCTGCATGAACTGACACTGCATCTCCAAAAGGATGATCTTTTCTAGATGTATTTTTGGGCTTTGAGACAGGACAATGGATATAGAGTCAGACATTAGGACGAGAGAGAGAGAGAAAGAGAGAGAGAGGGAGAGAGAGAGAGAGAGAGCGAGAGAGAGCGAGAGGAAAGATATGCGAGAAGGGAGCCACAGGTGAGACTCAACCTTGGGCTGGGTGCTTTGAGGACTACAGCCTCTGTGCATGGGACGCTCAGACTAACTGCTAGGCCACAACTGCGCCCAAACTGAGGCATTTGTTGTATGATTTCATTTTAATACTTTGCACCCAGCAGGATATACTCAAAGCTGTTTTCAACACATGCACTCCTGCACATTGAGATAATTCCAGGAGGACAGGGTCCTTCTCCTGACCGTCTCCTGAGGTAAGATGTGGCAATCCATAAGGTGTTGCAGCGATGGAAGCGGGCAAGAGAACTGGTTCAGATAGAAGTGATTGTACCCGACCTAAAAAGCTTCTGCATGTTTCTAATAAGCTCCACGAGCAGAAACGTGCTCAAACTAGGATCAATATTGGAGATGCTTTTGAAAAATGGAGAGAGGTTAGAACGCAGAAAGGTTTACAGACCGATGCAGAGCTGGATAAACACTGAAGCTTCAGTGTCCACCACATGGTGACCTGCGTGAGCATCAAAGTTGTGGGGGGGGGGGGGGGCAGCTTTCTACAATGTTTAGAATTTTGACTGCAGTACCCATTTTAAACACTAGGAGTCAGAGTTACATACTGCTCCTTTCAGAAAAACTTTTAAAAGTAATTAAAAGTATTTTTTCAGCCTGCAGTTGTCAGTGTGTCCGTTAGATAACATCACACGCCTGTTAGCAGGAAGCGTTCTCCTTCTTCATGTTCTTCTTTTTCTAAATAGTCCTTGTTTACATTCATAATTCTCTCATAATGACTCATTACATTAATCTAAGCTTTTCTCCCCTCTGTGTTCACAGGCCGGCAGCAGAGCGAGCAGGCTGCTTCCTGCGGGAGGGGCGTTTAGACTTTTCTTCTCTGGAGCGTGAACGAATGTTTTCAGGTGTTTTTTTGAAAAGGGAAATATTCAGCACAGACTGAGAATGAAAGGCCAACACATCGCTCGCCCACCACTAAAGATGTTTCATGTGAATTAAAGCCTCAGAACAAAAAGGCTTCTCAATGCTGGATGTGACTAATTATGTTTTTAAGACTTAAAAGACTTTTTTCATTTGGAAGAGGAGACTGAAACATTCAGAGGTTTATCAGCATTATTTCATGTTTTCAAAATATATTTTTGCTTTTGGATCTTTAGAGTTTTTTAATTGACTGAGAAATTGAAATTGTTCTTCTCTTAAATATTCCCCATGGAAGTTAATATCTCTCTTCTTACTGCGCATTTCATGAGCAGTTTAGAGTTTTCATCTCAACATTTTCGCTCACTCTGGCTCTTACACTTATGCACTTCTGCAGTTTTAAGAATGTCTTTATCATTTGGAGGAAAGATGTGAACTGTATGATCTCTGACCTGGTTCTTCACAGAGGTCACCATGCCCTTCTTGCGGTAGTCGATAGATTTGGGCAGCTTGGACACTCGTCCGACGTCCAGCTCCACGGTGTAGTTGGGATCTCTGTTATCAGGAACCAGCAGGCCGGTCATCTTCTCAGACACCTCCTCTGACGTCTGCATGGACAGAGACACCATTCACATTTAATATACAGCTTTTAGACCTTTCATTCTCATGCAAAATGCAATATCAGAAACATGACCTGCAGCAGTCGAGGGATACAGGTTGTACCGCCGCCACATTAGACGGTGTGAAACCTTCCCTGCTTGAATAATCTTGTGAGATTGAAATGTTTTGGGACAGGAACAAGAGAAGAGAGGAAGAGAGAGGGCTTATTTTTAGACTGAAGACGAGAGACGAGAGAGAGGAGATATAGGAGAGGGAGGATTTGATTCAGCAGGGTGATGGAGGATGAAAAGTGTTTCATAGAGCTGGATTTTAAAACACTTTACTCTGAAATGAAACGCCATTTGTCTGTAGAGTACAAGCGTGAGAACGAGAAGCCAGCAGGGGGGAATTAAAAGTGCAGATTTAAAAGGCTTCAACATTCACGAAACAAAACAAAAAAGGAGAAGAAGAAACAAAGAGGAATTAAATAAGTGACTCCTGTGCTTTAGCTGCCTGCTGCAGGATTACACCGAGCAGTTATCCTGCTTTTCTCTTATTATCAGAATTCCCCCGTGCTTTCATTACAGCTCGATGTGGGAGCAGGACTATTATTAATGAAAAGAGACGCAGCCCATCTGCTGATTCCTCTCGTTTCACTGCAGAGCTTCTCGTCCAAATGAAGATACAAGCATCCTCCATTTCCCGGCCACCTGTTCCTGCATCAACATGAAATCGTCTGTTCGCCCAGAATCTGCTTTTGCTTGTCAATAATAAACGAGCTGATGCTGTATCTGCACGTGCTTCGCTGTCCTCCCATCTTTGATTTACGAGTCAAAGGAGGAAGTGTGAGGCACAAACAGCCATCAGTCATGACATGCATGTCGCCGTGGGCAGCTTATCGAAAGACAACAAAGCCTGTTTAGTTTCACCTGTGAGAGCTGCAGCACGGAATGGAGCGACCGAGTCCTGTGTGAGTGCGCCCTAAAACAGCCTTCCCAACATGACGACCACCATCGTTGGAATTCAAAAGCGTCTCTTCAGAAACAGAAAGGGTGACGTCACAGAGACTTCTTTGACAGTCAGTGTGTGTTCCCCTTTAGAGACATTACTTTGTTGCTGTGGTGTTATCGGGCCAGCGCAGCGTTTTTCGATAAAGTTGGCCTAAGCGCGTTATGTGACGGAGAAAATGAATGGATTGGATTTTGCTGATTGAGTCCAAACTGTGCTGGAACACACTGAGATTAAAATGTGGGGGGGAAGATGCTGGATTTTCTTTTTGCAGGTACCTGAATATATGACATGAAAATCTTTCATATTGGTCACTATGTCTATTATGTCTGCAGAGTCCCTCTGCACCTTTAAGAAAAAGCTAAAGACCCAGCTCTTTCTTGAATACCTACTAACTTAATGATGATGGTCTCCATATTATTGATGATGATGATGGTTGTGACGATGGCTTTTGTTTGATAACGATGACTTATAAGATGGTTTCTATACTGATTAGAGCTCTCAAGAACTGCCGTCAATGTTGTGCTTTGCCTCTGGTCACTTCCTGTCAGCACCTGTGTGTCCAATCAGACTCAAAGCTGATCGTTTGCTCTTACTGACATTGTTCCTTTTTTCTAGATCCTTGCTTGTGTTGTACTTACTCTCTGATGTACGTCACTTTGGATAAAAGCGTCTGCTAAGTGAATTGTAGAATTAAGATTAAGGATAAAACTGGTGAGAAACATGTCAGACTGTTTCGATCAGTCAGCGATCAAAAAAAGCTTTGTGTCAGGGCGTCCTACAGACTCCGACAGACCCTTTCACAGATGACATGGGATGAAATAGATTGAGTCAAGTTGTCTCTGTGTCTGGATATAACAAGACTGATATCATGTTGTCTGGTATGAGAGTGAGAGACGATGTTAGAAAAGCAGCCTCGGGCGTGCAGGCCCATCTCAGACTCACCATGTCGCCGAGGTGGTTCATCCCCATCTCGTAGCTGTGCATGCCCAGAGCCGCCTCCTGGTTGTGGGCTTCAATCATCCACATGTTCTTCTCCCAGATGGCTCGACGAATCCCCTCTTCATCCTGAGACAGACAAGAGCGTGAGTCACTTTTAAATCAAAACCAAACACAATCTTTACACGTTACAGATATTATTCAGTGGACTCCTTCTCTCAGGCAAAGAGAGCTCACAAATCATGTAAGGCTTATTTATTTAAGTGAAACAGAGTTGCGTTTAGAAGCACTGCGTCTTCATCAGCGTCAATCTGATCTGTTCACCTAGAGACATAATTAACATCTATTCAGAAGGTCTGAGAGTAAGCCATTTTAACTGAGCTTCATAAAGACGTTGACGCCTTTACAGCGGTGGCCAGGAGTTCATCGGGATCATTTTACACACCTGAAACCAGAGTAGAAAATGAAACTGAAATGTCTCAGTGGAAGGAGGTTAAAATAAACACCGGAGAACAACAGGTTAAAAAGATTTAGAGCTATTTCATCCTGTTTCCAACGCTGAAATCATGCCTAGTGCTCGATGAGGCGTCACCATACACTGTGAATATAAATGTTTGAAGCCTGAGTGACGTTGACCGTCTGTTCCTGCAGGGGGCGCTGGAGTCCTATCGATGGCGGTCTCCATGTTGGAAACGCTGTCTCAGCCTAACTTTCAGTCAACCTAACGACAGGCTGAGAGCTGGAGCTGAGGCGGGTTTTAAACCTCCTGACAAACCGTGACACCGCGCCCGCCTGTCAATCATGTCAGCTGCACGCCTTATTGTGATAACTCTAATCCTTCATCAAATCAAAACTGATGAGTCATCAAAACAATCACCCCCCGTACAGTGTGTGTCCATCGAGACATGAGCTAATCAGACCTGTTTTTTTTTTTTGAACCAGGCTGTAAACATGTTAATCTCTGCTGTAAAAACAGGCTTTTTTAGAATGGGTGTGTATGTGACTTCCTGTGCTTCTGCAGCCAGCCTCTAGTGGACACTCAAGGAACTGCAGAATTATACACTTCAGCATCGGAGGTTGCTGCTTGGGTGTCACATAGATTCACTGCACATGCCTCTGATGGTCTTCACCAGGAGGTCACTGATTCGTCTGTCACCTTCATTTCAGTTAAAGTTTTGCCTCAGTGCGTCGACTCTAACACGTTAATAACATCAATCTGTTTAAATAGGACACTTTTACGAGTTAATTATCAAGAGAGAGAAGCTCGTCTGTGTAACAGTCCCCCTTTCATTAATTAGGCCAATTAAATCAGTGCACATTCACACAGCAGTCTCCCCGAATCGTCCAATGAAACTTCTATCCAAACACCGGCTGCTTCCTGATCTTTGCCTCTCTGTGTGTTTCTGTTTCCCGATAAGAAAGAACATCACTTTCATTTTTATGCAAATATTCAACGTCTTGTCACATCATGGGGATGAGATACAAGCAGCTGCTCGGTTGGTTACAGGAAAGAAAAAAAACTCCATTTACTTCTTAGTATTCATGTTCTTGACAACCATTAGCATCACTATAATCATTATTTCTATCTCAGTATCCATTCCAGTAATGGAAAATGCAAATGACGAGAGGGGACTTTGATTCTATTACAGTGATGTCAGTTCAAGGAGGGTTGAACTGGACGCACTGTCGGAGGAATACTGATTAAAATCACCACCAAAAGGGAGAGAGAGGGGGGAGAGGGAGAAGGAGAGAGACAGAGAGAGGGTGAGAGAGAGAGAGAGAGGGGGAGAGAGAGAGAGAGAGGGGGGAGGGAGAGAGAGAGAGAGAGAGGGGGAGAGAGAGAGAGAGAGAGAGAGAGAGGGAGAGAGAGGGAGAGGAGAGAGAGGGGAGAGAGAGAGGGGAGGGGAGAGAGAGGGGGAGAGAGAGAGAAAGAGAGGGGAGAGAGAGAGATAGAGAGAGAGGGAGAGGGGAGAGGGAGAGAGAGAGAGAGGGGGGAGGGGAGAGAGGGGGGAGAGAGAGAGGGAGAGGGAAAGAGAGGGGCGAGAGAGAGAGAGAGGGGGAGGGAGAGGGAGGGAGAGAGAGAGAGGGGGCGGGGGGTTCTGCTGACTGCACAGGAATGTAAATAATGCACCACTAATGAACACACCCACGTCCACACACATTTCAATAAATACACATACAGATAAAAAACAACCTAAAAACACAAGCTAACATACTGATCATGAACCGAGGCACACACAGCACTATAGATAACACACACACACACACACACACACACACACACACACACACACACACACACACACACACACACACACACACACACACACACACACACACACACACACACACACTTCTCAGCTGGGGTGACCTCTAGCCGGAGGTGAACAGATGCTCAGGAAGTTAATTTGTAGTCTGCTGCAGTTTCACATTTACAACAAAACAACAAAAATAGAAAATTTTCAGAAAAGGGAAAGTGACAACAAACCGTTAAAAGTTTGAGGTATTTCCAACCCCGCCAAAAGGAAAAACCCAGCTGCAACACACTTCAGTACTTATTAAAGGAACAAAAGAACAGATTTTATTCATTGTTGTTTCAGTAACTTGAAGCAGTAAATGTTGTGGGCGGGCTCTTGACTGCATTGAAATGACGCAGCTGCATCCCTCTGATTGGACGGCTGGAAAGCATTGTATTTCCTGCATTTTCTAAGTTCTGCTGAAGGAAGAACTCTGCGAGCCTGTTTAATCGACTGCTGCTCAATATTTATCAGTGCCAACATAACAGTCGCCATGTTTTCCTGCACACAAACAAGCAGAGAATATGACGGAACCAGAATATGAAGAATAAAAAGAACATCCGATTTTAAAATAACAATGCCACTTTAAATATAAAGACTAAAAACCTATGATGGTGAACCAGGGAGACACACAGAGCACACACACAGTTTCTCCCCTCTGATTCCCTGTTTGATATTTTTCAACACCAACAGACTGCTGTGTCAAAAGCAGAATAAAACAAGAGCTAATGGTTAAAGTTAACCCCAATTAACAACTCAAACAGAAACTAAAGATAAAAAGATTTAGTGATTCCTCGCCTGTTTTTTTTGTGTTTTTTTTGCCTTTTTAAACCCCCAAAGCGAACTCCTGGATCAAAGGAAGTAAACAGACACTTTGGCAAGAAGTGGGTCTCCCGCCTTTTTGAAAAATTAACTTTCCTGAATAACTGGCGAGAGATGAGAGAGACGGAGTGTAAACTCTCATTGTGCATGCCCTGCTTTACTTTTCAATTCCTCTGTTCTCTAACTCCATCTGTCTCGTTTCTCCGGGGCCAAAACACGGAAGTAGAGCAGGCGGCGCCGGCCTCACATTTCTTCCTTCTCGAGTTAACATTTGTTTCCTTAAGTATTTGCAGTAAGGAGAATGTTGTGTGTCTGGTACCAGAGGAACGTGACGGCATGTTTGAACGTGTGTTAAATATTGACAGTGAATGATAACGCTGTCACTCTTTAGATCAGAGAGCTCCAGCGCACACCAGGATCGTTCAGACTGACTTTAAAGTTTAATGCACGTAAAACATTTGAGAGAACAACACATATAGCATGGTGGCTTCCTCAGGTTCACTCTCCACTCAATCAGCTTTTGTGGTGACACAGAAACATCTTGTAAAGTCCTCTTTTTTTTTTGCATTAAAGTTCATCTGAACAATCCTGGTGTGCGTTGAATGGCTCGGATCTTGAAAGCTGTCTGTTCCAACCCAAGGATTCTCATCATAACTCTCTCTAACTATTAACATTTGAGCCGAGTGAGTCTGGTTGTCGTACGTTACGAGTCCTAACGAAAGACTATTTGTTTGGCTTTCATTAAAACATATCTCATAAGTAATTTTGACATTATGATAATACAAAAACTGAACAATGAGGCATTTGTTAGGACAGTTTCAGTCGCGTTTGTCTGAAAGTCATCAGTGAACATGGTCTCTCTTTTAACCGTAACACCAGAACGTCACTTCAGTGGTATTGCTGATATTCAGAGGAGAATCCCTCTCCTTACACCGCTGTAGGATGAAAGTCTACAAACATACAGGCAGCTTTATGTATTCTTGATCGGTCTTGGTTGATATTGCTGCTGTTTGAGAAGTGAAGGGCAAGAAATTCCTCATCATTCAAGAGTCGGTGAGTGCTAATTAGCTAACATTAGCTAGTTAGTGTTAGCTAGCGATAGTATCAGCAGTCAATCTTAGTGTTCTGGGGTAATTTGAGTTAACGGCAGGAATATTTAGAATTAGTCAACACTGCAATTGATGTCAGGATGAGGAGAAGTCCGATGTTTCCCCTCACATGAGGGTCTAACTGCTTTAATCCACAAACGTCCTCCTTTCTGTTTTTTTCTCGGATTAAATTATGTAGAAGCAAAACTCGGGCTCGTCTCCTTGTCGCTTAGTGTATCATATTAAACAACACCTGTATTTCATTTGATTTTTTTCAAAATAAAACAGAAAAAAACACGTAGGGGGCAACTGAGACCAGTAACTTCTCAGTAGCGTACAGTGGTAGAGAGCCTTTCTTGCCCTCCAGGTGGGCGGTTCCATAAGAGTGTGATGTCACATGAAAGCTATGAATAGTTTAGGGTGAGAAGGCAGACTCAGAGGTCAGAACAAACACCCACCTGGGGGAGGGGTTACTGCCCTTTGTGATGTCATGAAGGGAAAATCTCCAAACGGCCTGTTTGAGCACACATTTTCTAAAAAAATGGAGCAGGCAAAAGATGGAGAGGATGGACTTTTCTCATCATTGGGGGGTTTGTAGACAGACTAGAGACACATATTAGTGTTAGAGAAACATGGAGAAGTGTGTTTTGAATATGTGATCTTTAAAAGAGAAAATTAAAGAGCTCTTTGTTTTCAATAGTTATTTGAGAGTTGTTAAAAACTTGTTTCACAACATCTGATGAATTATTTTCTGCAGGTCAGATGTGCATTTCTCATACATGTATCACCTTCAACATTTAAACTCAAACAAAAGAACAGATTCAGTCAGAGGTAGATCTGGTACTGTCGTCAGGTCTCTTAAAACCTCTGTTTAATGTTCTCTAAACAGAGCTGAATCCTCCCAGATAAATATCCACCAGACAGGCGACAGCACAAACAGGCTGATAGAGAGGAGACTGAAATTGAGTCAGCTGGAGACAGACGGTGAGTCAAGCACAAACATGTCCACATGTTGAGCAAAGACACAGAAGTAAAGAAAAACAAAAAGACAAATAAAAAGGAAACAGGAGAGAAGAAGGGCTCCGTAAACATCTCTGCATTTGTACCACTGAGGTGAATTCACTCTGACTCCTCTCTTTAAAAATGTTCTGACATAATACTTGAAAATACTTTTGGGGCTCCCATCTTGTCCACAAACATCACCCTCGCTTTGCTTTTGACCCTCTTCAGCTCCCTGAGTACTTTTTGTTCTTTGGTCTGCACAGATCCCTCCTCGGGTTAAGGTGTGGACTGATATCTGTTAATAAATACTCCTGAAGTCACGACTCAAAAACCACAGAATCATGGAAGTATGACTCTTTTAAATTAGTAAATGTTGTGCAGCCTTGCTTTCTCAATTTGCAAACATGCCTGAGCAACTTTCAGGGTGAAAAATTTCAGGGTGAGCTGCACGTGTGAACGCAAACGGACACATCTTTAACTCTGACTTTACTCAGAATGTTTCCTGGCACTCCCATAGTAAATTTGGCATGGAGTTGAGGTGAGCCGATGTGAGAATGCAGAAGGAAATATTCATGAAAATTCCCAGAGAGCAAGCAGGAGGGGGCGACGTTTATATCCTGTGACTACTGCATGCACACAGCCGGAACGCTCTCCGTGCTCGTAATGAACTCATTATAGAGTCGGACTCTGTTTCTGTCGTCTACCTCTTTCACATCCTGTCCTGCCTCCTGAGAACCCCCCTCCCCCCGGGCCGACAGGGAGACTCTCCTGCTGTCAGGTGCATGTGTGAACAAGCAACTCAGGAAGAATTCAGAGGCAGCCTGTCTGACTTTTTCTACTTGTTATTTTCTTAGTTCACATTTTAAAGCACTGTAGAGTTTTAAGTAGAGTCGTAGCAAACAGACACTCACCAGGCCGTTGTATTCTCTGGTGTGGGTCATCTTCCACTGTTCCCACTGCGAGTCCAGAGTGGCTTCATCCAAGTGACTCTGAGCCGAGGCCGCCAGCAGCAGCAACACGCACACGCACGACAACATCCTGCAAAACAACAACACAAACAAAAAAAAACCTCAAATACAAAGAAGACCTATAGAAACCTCTGACTTCAAACTGCTGTGAGGAGAATTCAAAGAGAATCATAATTATTCATTAATTGACTGAAATCTCAAAAAAAGGAACCCAGTATTGTTATAAGAATCAAACGTTTGTACTGGTTTCTGTGTGATCTGGTTCCCTGTTCTGTGAGAGTCTGAATTACATTTAAACGCTAAAAGAAGAAGCAACGTTTTTATTTTCCAGGAAACTCTCCAACATCTGACTCTGCAGGAGAGAAACCTGCTGCACACTTCCAAAAATCTGAGTCGAGCTCATTTCTGTGGTTTTCCACTTTTTCTTTCTGCCACAAACAATGAAACCTGCAGGTTCTGGATATCCGCTGCTTCTTACCAAACATTGGAGGACCAAACAGCTGATTACAATCTTAAACTCTTGTGAAATAAATGTTTGAACTTCTAGTTCAAGTGTCTGAGAGGTCCTCTCGCTCGCTCTTTCAGGGAGCCACATTCTCTCTCTCTCTCTCTCTTCAGGTTTGAACTTTTTCCTCTCTCTGTGCTTCTCTCTGCTTTCCTGCCATCCGTCACCTTCCCCCCTGTGTGTGTGTGTCTCTTCTTTTTATTACATCCTGCTTCTAATCTGCATTTCTGTCTGTTGTTTCCAGTAAAGGCCTCTGGCCTCTGACCTCTGGAGTTTGCAGAAGCAGAAAACAAGTGTTTTGCTTCACTGTAAGGCTGCTGTACTTCTCCTTCCTACACAGATCGATTTGATGCACAGCAAAGTTCAACCCTTGTGTTGTTGTTGCTTTTTAAAGGAAATGGTCTGATTTAAAACAGCAGGGTTTCATAATCTATGCAAATCATTAACAGTCGATTGGAAAGAATGCACACTGTGCTGTTTCCCTGTCTGAGTCAGAAGAAGCCTTCTCTGAATTCAACAACACTTTGAAACGTGTCCGCATGCCTCTCTTTCCCTGCTGCTCTGACTTTCCGAAACTCTTTCTAAAAAGGTGCAAATGGGTCCAAATGTCTCCCTAAGCCTGATCCTGTTAAGACTAATTACTTCCTAAGATGGAAAAAAAAACTGCGAAAGAGCCAACATTGAAAGGAAAGAAATCCTAATAGTCAAATGCAAAATCTTTCCAGACAACTCGGTGCTGGAATGATATCAATTCTGCAGCGCTTTTGTTTAAGTTTCACACAGAAACATCAGAATATAACCATCTGAATACCTTCAGATCTTTTTTTTTTTACAGCCTCTAAAACCAGTTGCAGAGGAGGAATGCACAGAACTGAAAGTTAAACTCTGTATCAGGAAATCAGTGAATGACAAACGTTACCTTCAGTCCAAAAGTCAAAGCGTTTGCGGAGGTTCTGTGGGTCTGATGCCGTCTTCCTCTGATGACAAAGTAGGTCAGTGTATGAGTTTATATGGTCTGGAGTTTGAGGAAGTACAATGCGGGAGCACCAGGTCCCGGGGAGGAGTCTCCTTCCTCTTTTTTTTTTTTTTGCAGGCGGGGATTAACATCTGGTTTAACTCTAACAGCCAGATGATGTCAGGTGTCAGATTTCAGAGGCCTCTCTGCAAACTTCACAGTCAGACGCTTACTCAGCACTTCTATGCACACTGAGGCTCTTCAAATAAATCAAGAATGCTCTTCTATATATAATTTAAAAAGGCTTGTTAAGCTCCAGTCCTAATGTAACCCCAGACACCGCCTGAATTATTGATCAGACCACTGTACAAAATGAACACATGCTCAGCTCTCTGCACAAATATGCACAAATACCTGCCAATGAATCCTCCCAAACTGAACGCTGAGGTCAAACTATGTCCAGTTGGAGGATTTTGGAGCTGCAGAAACAACATGTTCTCAAAACAAACAAACAAACAAACAAACAAACAAACAAACAAACCACGATGGCTCTGCGCTTGTGCAAATTTGATGTACCTGCAAAAACTCAAGCCAGGTAACTTGTTGTACCCTGGGGTTTCTTTTGTTGGTTTCTAAGCCTGGAACTTGAAAATAAACTTTATTTTTTTTTTTTTTATTGCACTTTGTGACTAAAAAAGGCTCAATAAGAATCTTTTTTTAAGTGCCTGCACAGCAAATGTAGTGAGAGGACATTCAGGTAAACGTGAGGCTGACAGTGAATCAACATCTCCTCACCTTCTCCCCATGGCGTGGGTCCCTCCTGGCTCCTCCCCCTCCTCCTACCTGAGCACAGATTGCTCTCAGGTGAGCAGCAGGACGAGGGAGGAGGGAGGAGGGAGACCAGAGGAGCAGAGAGGGAGAGAATCAAGGACGCTCGGAGCAGTGCTACATGGACTCAAGTTTCTGAATTAGAGAAACAGTCTCATTGTTTAACTGCATGCAGAATCCTGATGCAGCAGCTCTGTATACGTCTTAAAACCGTAAGTTAAGAAGTGCAGAAGAAGTTTTGGAACAATTTGATGAAAGGACGATAAAGAAATCTAAGAAGAAACGCAGAAGACGATTTAAAATAAATCATAAATAACCATTAAATATCACGTCTGATTAAGTGGTGCAGCTTAAGTTTCCCACACCAGAATAGATGTTTTATCATATTTATTTTCTGAGCCACGTCGTCTGGTTTGCTGAAACTTCCTCATCAGTCAGTCAACAGTCCAATGTGTCATGTCTGTGTGTATATATGAGCATGTCGTGTGACTCCTATAGTCACAAACCTAAATATAAGAGCGTCCCGTGTAGCTCATAGGTCCGGTGATGCATTTCAGCGTGTTACTCATACATGTAATGAGGTCTGAATGAATATATCAGCATTTTGAATGGAGAGAGGTCAAGGGGTCTACTGGTAGGTAAGAGCAGGCTGTGAGGGCTGCAGACCATCCAAACCAAAGACTGTAAATATAAAAGTGACCAATCAGTGAGATGTGCAGTGAGTGAAATGATAAAGTGACCTTACTATATGATCAGACATTAAAGGGATGCTTCACCCGTTGAAACATGAATCTGTTTTGACGTTGGGTCATATATCTAGTAGAGTTGTGAAATACATTTTTAACTTGGTGCCTTCTTGGCCGTGAAAAGGCAGAAAGTGTCTTTTTGGCTCATGTGGATGAAAGACACCAAATTCCAGAATGCACAGCACCGCAGGCCACTCCCACTAAGGTCCTCTATTTCAGAATCAGAAAAACTTTGTTAATCCCAGAGAGAAATTTGATTGTTACAGTTTCTCCAAAATATTCAATATAACAGTAGAAATATAGTAATAAAAACATTTACAGACATATTTACTTCAACACATGAGGCCATTTCCTCAACTGATTCAGAGATTTCTTCCAGAATTGATCTTGGAAATTCATGGCAGAAAACAGATTCTATGTTTGTGTCCATAGGCAAACAGTGAGAGCACCGACACTACCAGTCCGCCCCAGCTCCTCGTCCTCACCGCCGCCGCCGATGCCGCCCACAGGCAGGCATTATGTCTCAGTTGCTGAGCTGGCAGCGGCTGGTGACGGCAATATAGCTGCGAAACGGTTGCTGCCAACAGGCCGGTCTTGTGTCGGGGAGGCCGGGCTCCCTGCGGCCGGGCTCCCGGCAAGCAGTCGTCTCACCACTATATTTATATTTCTTCACCATTATCAGCTTTCTCCATAGAGCCTGTTAGCTTAGCTTCCAAGCAATATGGTGGACGTTAATTTTTGATTCTGGGAGTGAGTTCCCACCCACTGATCTGTGATTGGGCTTATCTAATCGTGGAAGCCAAAATGACGTCACCCGTCTGTTCCTGCAGGGGGCGCTAGAGTCCCATCGATGGCGGTCTCCCTGGTGGAAATGCTGTCTCACCCTAACTTTCAGTGCAATAGCAACCGTCATGATGAAACCAGGTTTGTTAAAAATGTAGTTTGACCCATGTCCAAGGAGGAGGCGGGGTTTATGACCTTTACTGCAGCCAGTCTGCAGGCGCTCCAAATCTTTTGGCTTCACTCCCAGACGGCTGTTTCTCCATCCATGTGAATATAAAGTCTTCGGTTGCAACACAATGGGGAGGATAAGATGACTGCAAAACTGTAAAGAATGTTTTTAGCTCTAGGGGGCGTGCTTTTACCAATTTCTTAAAATTTTCAGTCAATTTTACCCAAATGTGGAAAAAGGCCGATGTTGTGAGCGTTTTAATGATACTACTTTGTGTATGTTCTGTGACAGTAATACACCAACCACCATAAATCACAACGAAGAGGAAAGAGGAACGCTGCCTTCACTAAGAGTTGAGGAGAATTCCAGCTTTTCATCTCTTCAGCGTGCAGCGAGCTTCTGCAGACCTCAAGGTCACGAGGAATCTGTGCTGAGATCTCTGGTGTGTTAAACGCAGCACAGACTCGAGCTCTCATCACGGACAGCTCGCTATCAGCCCGATCGATAGCTGATCTTTCTTCTTTCTTTATTTTTTTAAAGTCTCTCGCTGGATTCCATCATGGCAGCACCGGAGCGCGCTTTAAGCCCCTTTTAAGACTCGTCCTCGCAGGTTCCTCCACGGCCACTTTAGATAATGAGACTCCTCGACGGCAGCGTCTCGATTGATCCATCATGCAGCACCCATCCCCCCACCTCTCAGCACCAATGAACAGGCAGGAGGCCATGACCTTTGTGTAAATGTGTGTGTGTGTATGTGTGTGTGGGGGGGGGGGATGGCTACCGGCATGATAGATTTATAATCCAATGTTCCACAGTAAGGTGGTCGATGGCACTATTTTTACCTGCAGTGTTAGAAAATCTATTAATGTCCCGATATAAGGCTGACGTGGAGAATTTATTTCCATGATCCAAACACTGTGATGCGAGCACACATTATCTAAATGCTGTGTTGATTTCCTCTTGCCTCTTCACGGCGAGCACTGGTCAGTAATCTGAGAACCAGTTGAATTCCTGTTTCCTTTCTGTCGTCTTCTTCCTTCCTTTACGAGGCCACATCTGTTCCCTATTTCTGCTCAGAACTCACCACAAAAACTCCCAGGATCCTCTGCTCTGGTCATATGATGGACCTGCTGACTCAAACCCATCACGGGTTTTGTGAGCTCCTTGTCAGTATAGGAGCTTCTGTAATGGCAAGAAGTAATCTTACATCACGGCGAGGGGGGTCTGCGGCGAGAACCCGATGACATCCCATTTTCTATATGCATCCCTGATCCATATGGCTCCCTTGAGGACAGATTACATAACTCTAATGCTGCTCCCTTGGTGAAATTAATTGTGTCTAAGCGCTAGAAAACATTGCTCATGTTCTTCTCGCTCTGCCAATGGACAGAGACGGTTTAAATCCCGGTCTGAACTGTGTGCACTTTTCACTGACCAGTTCAGGGATTAGAGCAGCAGACCGGGAAGAGGTTTTAAAGGCTTGTTTTCATTCCAGCAGATTAGACTGCGTTGTCTTTTTTTTTTTTTATTCCAACCTCAGATTGTTTGTTGACTCACTGAGGTCAAATGTCCCTTCAGATACAACTTATTTCTCTTCAGTCTGAATGTGGTTCGTTTATGTTTTACCATAAAATATCAATAAAAAGGAGCAGAAAAAAGTTGTGTGGAGATTTCTTCAGCTGTTCTTCAGCTGCTTCTGTCACATATTTCAGAATCGGTTTTTATTGCCATGTACATTTACACAAACAAGGAATATGTCTTGGTGTATTTGAGATCAGGGGTCTCCAACCTTTCTTCATCAGAGAGATACTTTGGAGAATGTAATGTGACTGAGATCGACTTCTATCCCAGCGCTCACGTTTAGTGACATAACATATCAAAACAAATGAACCAGCTGCATTAAGCTACTTCTGGCACACATGTCAACACATGAAGCTTACAAAGAGCAGAGACTCTCCATGTCACAGTGTCGGAAATCACAGACTACTCACTATTAGTGAACACATTTTGTAGTGGGGTCCGACTTCTGAGTGAGATTAAAGCTTTGACTTTGCGATATCTTTTCATTTTATTTAACCAGGTTGGTCTCATTGAGATTAAGAACCTTTTTTTCCAAGGGAGACCTGGACGAGACAGAAAGCAGCACAAACACAAAGTTACAGACGGAGACACAAAAAGAGACAAAGTACAATTTACGAAACACAAAATTTTGCATTAAAAGAGAAGCATATGAGTCAGATCTGGGAGTCAGCAGTTTGAACAGTCAAGCTAAAAACATCCACTGCTTCCAGGTCTTTGAATTTAAGATTCAAAAACATTTTAATGTACAACATGTTTAATTGTATGACAATGTTTTCATTCAAATATCTAAATGAATAAATAATAGACTAAACATATGTTACATGTATATTTTATTGTTGAGTGCTTACATCACCTCAAATATTTCCAACAGTTATTAAAGATGGTGAAATCCTTCATTTTAGAGTTGTAACAGTGTTTTGCCGTGGCAGCCGGGATGACAGATAATGTTTATCGTTGCTGTGGAAA